ACCCGGAGCGGCTGCTACAACCTCACGGACAACGGGCTGGGCCACGCCTTCGTGGCCGAGATCGGCTCCCTGCGCTCGCTCAACCTCAGCCTCTGCAAGCAGATCACGGACAGCAGCCTGGGCCGCATCGCCCAGTACCTCAAGGGCCTCGAGGTGCTCGAGCTGGGCGGCTGCAGCAACATCACCAACACAGGCCTCCTGCTCATCGCCTGGGGCCTGCAGCGCCTCAAGAGCCTCAACCTGCGCTCCTGCCGGCACCTCTCCGACGTGGGCATCGGGCACCTGGCGGGCATGACGCGCAGCGCGGCCGAGGGCTGCCTGGGCCTCGAGCAGCTCACGCTGCAGGACTGCCAGAAGCTCAGCGACCTCTCGCTCAAGCACCTGGCGCGCGGGCTGGGCCGCCTGCGCCAGCTCAACCTCAGCTTCTGCGGGGGCATCTCGGACGCGGGGCTGCTGCACCTGTCGCACATGAGCAGCCTGCGCAGCCTCAACCTGCGCTCCTGCGACAACATCAGCGACACGGGCATCATGCACCTGGCCATGGGCAGCCTGCGGCTCTCCGGCCTCGACGTCTCCTTCTGCGACAAGGTGGGCGACCAGAGCCTCGCGTACATCGCGCAGGGCCTGGACGGGCTGCGCTCCCTCTCGCTCTGCTCCTGCCACATCAGCGACGAGGGCATCAACCGCATGGTGCGGCAGATGCACGGGCTCCGCACCCTCAACATCGGCCAGTGCGTCCGCATCACCGACAAGGGCCTGGAGCTCATCGCCGAGCACCTCAGCCAGCTCACGGGCATTGACCTCTACGGCTGCACCCGCATTACCAAGCGGGGCTTGGAGCGCATCACCCAGCTGCCCTGCCTCAAGGTGCTCAACCTGGGACTTTGGGAAATGACTGAGAGCGAGAAGGTCAGGTGAGAGGAGGGGGGCGCCCCGAGACCTCCATCTCCTCTGGAGGGACTCATGGACTGACTTACTGACTGACTGCTGCAATGGAGAGGAGAGATTGAGAGGAGAGAGAGAGAGAGAGGGGGGCACGCACAGAACCATGCTACCCACGCACCCTGGCACTGGAGGGAGGAATATATATATAGAGAGAGTATATCCTTGACCCTTCTGTGCTGCCTACCCACCCTTGTTCTGAAGGAGGAGGAGGAGAAAGAGAGAGAAAGAGAGAAAGCACCTACCCTTTCCAGGTCATGCCTCCAGCTCCACACTTGGGAGCCAGAGCTCCCCCTCCCCCACAGCATCCTTCTCGACGAAAGAGGCAGAAGGCCACACTCTTATGCACTGGGGCTAGAGAGACCCCTCTTTATCCCCACTCCATCCCCTCATGCACTAAGGATGGATAAAGACAGACCCCTGGTTCTGCCATTTATCGAGAATAGATTATTTTTCTGCTTATATATATTAAAAAAAAAAGGAGAGTGGGAATGGAGATGGGGAACAAACAATAACAGCACCAGAAGCAGCTTTCTAGCTATATTTCCATACCCAGCCACCCAGTTCCTCCCTGCACCCTGGGCACAGACAGGGCTTTTGGTTAAAACCATTCCACCTCTGTGGCTGCCCCTCCCCCGCCAACAGGGACTTGTGACAGAAATACTGCTCCCTAGGTACATTGATTTTTTTCTTTTTTTAAATCTGTTTTCAATATCCAGTTCCGTGCTATTCTCTGCTGTGGGTGGATACAACCTCCCCCTATTGCAGTTCTCCACTGCCCTGAGAATAGGGATAGCTGCAACCTCTCCTTTTGTATGTTTCCGTGTCACCCTGTGCTATGGCTACAGAGCAAGCCCAGGCACTCGGCTCTTTCTCCCCATCTCTCCACCCTGGAGCCCGAGATAACCATTTGCTCCCTCTCCCGTCCCTGTAGGGACTGGACACAGACCCAGCTCTCTTAAACCTCCCCCCGTACTGGGGGACGCTGAGAGTTACCGAGAGACACGTCTTCCCTTTCATCATTCTCTCTTTTTCTCCCCTCCTTCTCTTTCTTGGCAATGAGGATAAAGACATATCCAGCTACATATCCATTCCTCTTTGGATTGGGGGCGAGTGGGTGGAAGGGGCGAGTAGCTCCCCTCTACCCCTGGGACTCGAGGAAGAATCTCCAGCTTCATTTCTGCTTCTTTTGAGATACTGTGACCTGTTTTTATTTTGACATGCATAAAAAAAATTACTGCTACAAAAACAGCCTCTTAACTCTCCCACCTATCCCTTGCTTATGTCTTATAACTGATCCCAGTTTTCCTCATCCACTTTCCTCTTTACAGTATTCATTTTTCTTACATGGTTTTATTTTTTAAGACATTTGAAGTTGCTGTTCTTGTGGATTTTTAAGTACATTTTTTTTCTGCTGAATATATTCTATATATATAAATATATATATGATGTCTGGCTACCTCGTTTTAATTTGTTACCTTTTTTTTTCCTCCTCAAAAACCCTGGAATTCTTACAGGAAAGAGATTTTGAGACTGAAACATTTTTGTGCCTAGACTGGAATAATGCCCCTTGGGTTTGTACTTTTTTTTTTTTCTTTTATCTCCCTTCCCCCCATTTCTCCTTTTTTTTAATTATTATTTTTTAAGCTTACTCTACTGTGTCCCACCTTCACATTCTGGTTGTGCCTCTCCCTCCCTCTTCGCTGGGGATTGGGGACCCAAATTGTGCTTCTGCATTTTTACTCTTCTAGCACAAACATGTAACATGTGAGAATCCATGCTGAGGATTGGGCTACTGTTAACAGAAATGTATAAAATGCAAATTTTTTTTTAAGTTATATATAGAGATATATGCAAATATTTTCCCCTCCCCTCCGAAATCACCTACAAAAGGTTGCTATGTGAGGCTTCCTGTTTGTAAGTGGAGAGGAGCAAAGCCAGCCTGCAGGCCCTGAGGCTGTAATGTGAAGGGGAGGAGACTGAAGTTCATCTGTCTTGTCTCTGTTCTGTCAATAAAATGGAGCTAGTTCTTTAGATTTTTTTTTATTATTATTTTAAAGAGGAAGAATACTTTTTTAAAAAAAAATCTTGGCTTTTTTTTTTTTTTTGGCGCACGCTCTTCTTTTCAGAATCTCAAATCCTCCACAGTAACAGGCCAGACCATGGAGTTAACGCAAACCCAGAGACCCCTATGGATTAATTGTACTGTTTGTGAATTTGTATAAAAAAAAAACAAAGATCCTCTTAAAACATTTTATATTCTTACAGTAAAAGGTTAAACTGATATTTATATAATAAAAGAGGAAATATGAAGTATGTTTTTGAAAAAAGCTGCATCTGTGTTGTTTGTGCTTTTTAAAGACAGGTCTCTGATCTGCTCATGTGGGCAAGTGTGCCTGAACAGCTCGTAGCGAGGTTTGGGGGCTGCTCTCCCGTGTTTCACCAAGTGACCGAGCCCGACGAGGGGAAGGGAGGAGGGCGTCTGGTCCCGCCTGCGCAGGATGCTGACTAACATCGCGATCAGGGGTTTATAAAAAAAATGGTTTCAGTAGGACCAGCTTTGTATGTGAGAAGTTACCTGTTCTCAGCCTCTTGAAACCGAGCTAGGCAGCAGATCAGAGCTCTGCCTGAGGTGAGACACGCTCCAAGGGCTCCAGGCAGACTAAGCGGTGTGCGGAACAGGAGCCCACCCTTTGGAAGGGAAAGGGACGGGTGTATTTACTGTTTTTTTTAAAGCTTCAGGTACATGGCAGAGAGTTTCGTATGTGTGTGAGGTTTATTTAGCCTAAAGTGACAGCCATCCTCACCATCCCCTGCAGAAGGCCAATGAAATAAAAACCATTTCCTGTAATGGCAGTTACCTAAAACTGCACTCTGGCCACTGCAGGAAAACCTGGGCCAGCTGAAACAGTTTGGTTGGTTTCCGTTGCCCAAGCAAAGATAAAAGTAAGGAAGAAGTAAAGTGGGAAAAAAAAAAAGTTTGAATAATCTAAGGTGTCCTTTGTATTCTACGGTAATCTTTCTCTTTAATGTATGACTTTTAACCTGACAGGGTCCCTTTCAGACTTCCCCGATGTGGGTTTTTTATTGTTGTTCGAGATGGAGCTTAAGCGGTGTTTATAAGGCCCGGAACAAAGCTCTCCTCCCGCTAAGTCCCGCAGCAGGCCCTGCTCTTCCCCCCTTGCCCGCTTGGCAGGAGGGGCTGGGGCAGGGAGAACGCGAAATGGTGGAAGCGGCGAGGCCATTGTTCGGAAAGTTAAAAGCGGAGCTGTCCCTGCTCGCTTGCTCAGTCATGCATAGTGAATCCCGCCGCGCGAGGGTCCCTATGGAAGGGAGGAGGAGGGTGATTCTTCCCCTCTTTTTAACATTCCTCTCCAGGCCTGGCTGTATTTAAGCTGCTTTCCTCCGCGCAGGGGAGGAGGTGGGGGAGGATGGTCTGAAGTTCCTGTGCATTTGCATTTTAAGCACTTCCAGGGCCGAGCGGGCCACTTTGTTCCAGCCCCTGCGATCCTGCTCCACGGCCCTCGCCCAGCTTGTGCTCCAGGTCAGGGAGCTGCCCGCAGCGTGGCCCTGGACAGAGGGGTCCCCTCCGCTCCCGCTACAAACCTGCTCCACATGCTCCACCCGTGCATTTGCAGATGGGTTTTGGCCAAGACTCTGCTATACCTAGACCACCTGACCTTTTTCCTGTCTCCCTTTAAAGGCAAAAATACTGTGTACCAGGGCAGAGTTGCCTACCATCTCCCCTGCCTCCAGAGCAGGGCTGGCACCTACGCTGCCTCGAGATTCAGGCTTTTGGGGCTGGCTTCCCCCCAGCCCCAAGAGTTCCAATCTTTCTGCTGGGACGTGGTGACAAAAGCAGCATTGTTCGCTTTGGGGAAGGCCACCACAATTGGATCTAATTGAGTCTGACACTATATCCATCTTCCTTTCCTTAGAGGGAGGTGTGGGGTCTTTCTTCCTTGTGTTATGAAGGAAAAAAGGTCTACAATAACTTCTTGACCGAAAAAAGAGGATGTATGTATGAACACTGCAAACAACAGGGATTCCACATCGGGTTCCTGCTACCCGAGAGCATTTAAATGGTCACCGCAGTCCTAGCAAGGCTGGAGAATGACATCTACCAGGCAGGTTTGCTTCTGCTAGACCTCAGTGGAAACACACAGCAGTTCTTTATTAAACCCCATGTTTGCATGAATAATGAACATCTAAAATGACCATAATGTAGGTGTTCTTTTTAAATTGTGTAATCAGATACAGGACTTACTTAAAAAAAAAAAATCTCCCTATTAAAAAAAAAAAAAGCCCACTTAGCCCAGAATGCTATTTAAATGGAAGCCAAAGCTGCCTAAAGCCTCATGTTTAAACACACCAGACTTCCCACAGAAGGCACGAGTGCTCCCTATGGATTGCCTCTTTCCAACACGCAGGAATGACAGTCCTGCCAGGTCTGCCTGTCCATTGAGGCCAGAGTTGGAAGAATGCGTGTGTTTACTAATACAGAGGAGGACTTTTCAAAATAAATCATCCATTGCTAGCAAGCATAGACCAATTACCATGCAACACCTCAGGGTAACAGGGAAACTTAATTTTCACTCTCCAGCTGCCCTTGAATTTTTGAACACAACCCAGTTGACAACCAAGAAAGAAAATCATACATAGCTCTGTTTGGAAGTGACCTGGAGATCTCCCACCTGTGTCACAGAGGTTGCAGTGCTCATACGCATGCCAGAAACCCACCAACCACCAGAGTCCCTGCGAGTGAGCGTGCGGGGCTGGCGGCAGCCCTGGGTTTCCTGGCTCATTGGTCCCAGCTGTCATTTCAGAGCCCACCAAAAGCTCTCCCAGCCTTGCCCGTTGAGGCAGCAGAGCCCTTACCCTGGGGCACCTGGGTTGGTGCAAGGCAGGTGCAGAGGATAAGCTAAACCAGGAGTTCTCTGGCTGCCCAGCCTCCTTCATGCAGATGGTGGCATGAAGTGGAGTGGAGCAGGTGTGATTTGAAGGGAGAGAAAAGCACCCAGGCAGCAGAGGAAGAGGAGGCAGTAGCCAGGGATCAAGCAGTAGAGGCAG